GCCACACCAGCTGGGCTGAATAACCACATTTAAGAGCTAAAAATGAAGGCACCTCAGAGTCTCCTGGCACTGCCCACCCCCACCCCCTCTGCTCTGGCAAGGACAGGCAGTGTCGGTTTGAGGGAGACGTTTGTGCTGTGCCTGCCTGCCTCTTGGCTCTCAGCTAGGGAATGCCTCCCACAAAGGGTGACCCCCGAGTGGTGTTCTGGGCGTTTGGGCTTTCAGCTGTGCCTTTTTGTCTGACTGTTTACCGAATTAAGTGATGTGGGCTCAGAACACACTGCAGAGGAACGTTCTGTTCCAGGCGTGCTGTCCTCGCGTCTCTCTTCATGGGGGGCGAGAGGCTAGGAGGAGCAGAGGGAGAATGTTTCTTCTTTAGCACATTCTCTCCCGTTCAGAAAAGGCCTGCTCGGGAGGCAGGGTGCAGAGCCGCCCTCCGCAGCCTCCCGCCACCGAACGTTTGTGGGGCAAGGATTTAAAAAGCTAAACCGCCTATAGCTAGGTCGCGGCTAAGCAGTAATCACAGTGAAATAGAGTTGGAATAATTTCTGAGTCAAACAACACATGTTTAGAAATACCGACAAATGCAAGACATTGTAGAGGAAACATTAAAATCATGTCACTATCCATAGTTTTGTTCTCCCTTCTTCCCCATTTTTTCACTTAGTTCTTACTTCCTCCTACATATATTTCATGAACTTCCTGAAAACCTATCTGGAAATAAAGAGATGTTACAAATAAAGAAAAATAAGAGATCCTGACCTTGTCATTCAGTATCTTCCAGCCCAGGTAGGACTGTACGGTGTAGTTTTGGGTTATTTTATTTGTTTGTTTATCTATTTTTTTTTTCTTTATTGATTTTAGAGAGAGAGGAAGTGAGAGGGAGAGAGAGATAGAAACGTCGATAAGAGAGAGCATCGACTGGCCGCCTCCTGCACGCCCCCCACAGGGGATTGGGCCCACAACCTGGGCATGTGTCCTGACCAGGAATCGAACCGGCCACCTCTTGGAGCATGGGTCGATGCTCAACCACTGAGCCACACCAGCTGGACTGTAGTTTTTGTTTTAATAAAGATAATAGCAGAGCTGTTTGCAGGGCTGGAGGTTGATCACTTGCTCAGGGAGAAATATTGATGTAAATTGCTTTAATATCCCAGAAGAGTAGCACGGACAGGAGTCTGCTGGGAAATCCACACAGAGGAGGAGCGGAAGCCAGGTGTGAAGGCAGAGCAAGCAGATGGGGGGAGAGGAGTGAGAGAACTTTCTAGGGGCCAAAGCTCGAGGGAGAAACTCAAGGAGGAGGGCTCTGCAAACGTCCCGTTGTGACTGAGCCGGAAAGGTGGAAGATGAGTCCAGAGCACGAAGAGGGCAGAGGAACCACGGCAGGGAGCATAGAAAACACTCAGGGAGAGGGGACGGCACGGTCGGGGTTTAGACAGCAAGCGGTACTCTGTGAGGGGTACCAGGTGGTGCTGGAGAAAACAGAAAAAGCCGTTGAATTGTGCAGTCCGAGCATGCATTTGCTATTGGGAGCCCGCTTGTCCCTCTGACCTCCAGCTTAGGGGTTCTTCCTTGGTTCACACTGGGAGGAGGGACCCCTACGGGAGCCCTCAAGGACAAGCCAGTCTTTACGGAGACAGAGAGAGTCGTGGGAATGGTGGCACCTTTTCGTGTCAGGTACACAGCTTTACCTACGACATCACCAAACTTCATCACAACCTGAAAAGGAAGTAACCTTACCCCACTTTACAATGAGGAATCTGAGGTCCAGAGAGGGTGAGTCACACACCCAAAGTCAGGTTAGGTAAGGGGCACAGCTAGTAAGGGACAAAGCCAGAGTCAAAGTCAGGCCTGTCTGACTCAGAATCCCACGCTTTGCACTACCTGTGAATACCATCTAGCAAGGCTGCATGTTGTGAGCAGCAGATAAAACGGGATAAGGTATGGCTTTATAGGGACCAGGGAGAGGCCAAGAAGGAAGGGTAGAAGAGGAGGTGGTTATACCAAGAAGACTTGAGACTCAGTACACACCCTCAGCGCCTGACCAGAGCCACTGGGTACAAGTGGAGGTGGCTTTAGGACAAGGTCTATAAAGACACGTTGGTAACTGGTTTATGCTGGTTTCAGCTTATCAACTACCAGTGTTGTGGCTAGAACCTGTGGTTCTCATGACAACAGCAAGACATCCTTCAATAATAGCTATCAGGAAACGTTGAGAAAGGGTTACTACTCATAGAACCTGGGGCCACACACAAGGTTGTGGGGAGAGAGAATGCATGCTTGGGCCTGAGATTCTGCTTTTACTGGGGTTGAGGGCAGGGACCAAGGTTTTCTCTGTCTTTCTCTTCTTACCACAAGAAGGACTGTACCTGTCAAAAAGGATTTCTTGTGGTTATGGGCCCCACATCAGAGTCTAGCAGCCATTGTTTAGGGGGGCGGGGGGGCCTCTCACACATGCCGCATTTCAGGAAGACGCCACAGACTGGGCTGCCAAGACTCCTGTGTTTCTATAGGCTGAGCTAACCCTTATAAAAGAGCTCCTGGAATCATATTTCAACCAATGGGCTGAAATCTGCCCCGTCCAATCAGAGCTGTACAGCTATATCCTCATTTGCATCTTTACCCATCAATCAGAGCTCCATAACAACCAACCAGAATGTGCAACTCTGAAAAATCAGGACAGTGCTATGTGGACCAATCAGACTCTGCAAATTTGCATTTCTCATATGCATAGAGTGAATGCTCAACTATCTGTGCAATTTTTATCATTGTCATTACTCTCATTATCACTATGATCACTGTGAGGGATTGTAGGTCACCTGCATAAGGAACACTAATGTGATTCCTTTCATTCCTGTACCAGTGCTTCAGACTGTCCTCTTGTGATTCATTTTCCCCTTTCAGGGTAACCCTAGGAGTTTATTTTCTCTTTATTTTATCAGGAAAAAAAAAATGTTGGAGGGAAATATGTCAAATCCTCAAAACTCTAATCATGAACCTGGAACTATGGTCTCCCTCTCAGGAACCAGGTACAAACACCCTCAGCTGCAGGAGGCATATGGAGGGAGGGAGTCACCAAGAAGACAAAAAACCCTGTGGTTTGGCAGGTGTCCAGGGGGTGGAGCCAGAGAGTTGTCACTCCTTTGCTGGCTACTGACAAGTGCTATCAGCTCAGCCATGTGGGCGGGAGGCCTAGAGAAGAGAAAGACTGATAACATCTCAGAGCTTTCTATGGGTTTTTTAAATTCTGTGCTCATGAAGTACACCTGAGTTAGATTCCTGCCATACAGAACATGCCACAAAACTGACATTTAAGAAGAATGAGGAAGAAATGGATTTTTTTTTTTTACTTGAATTTTAGATTCCTCTGCTATGGAATGTTGGCCTCTGGACTTTTTAAAAATGTGTTTTTATTTCAGTATAGTTTGTATACAATCTTATATTGGTTGTGCTAAGTTCACGTGAACAATATAGTGATTCAACATTTTTATACCTTACAATGTGATCACCCCACATATTCTAGCAATCATCTGTCACCGTACACACTTATCACAATGTCGTTGACTGTGTAGCCTCGGGACTTTTAAAAGGCGGCATAATTTATCTTAAGATTCTTGCCTAAATAGAGGGACACTAATGTTTTTTCCAGAGAAACATTTATATTTTTTTCTCCTCACTGGGGAAAGGGCAGTGTGGTTTCCAGAAGACAAATTTTCTACCCCTTGATCTCTGCACCCTCGCACCACGTGGTGCCCCTCGGGATCGTGCTGGATTCTTACACCTGTGCGGAAGTTGGGTCATGTCTAAGAGAAAATTCACCCTGGGCGCTGTCCCTCAGCTCCAGAGGCCATTGCATAGCAGCCTGCCCTTTGCTTTTTAAAGTGATACTCTGTTGCTCCTTTTCAGTTACAAACTTTCCAAAAAATATTTCCGAGTGAGGGTAGGAGCTGTAGGAAAGTGGAGAAGAAAATGATGAATTTGAGTAGGATTATGGCTGAGCAAAGACCTTGAAATGCCAGGGAAAGGAAGGCAAGATGCTGGCATCGAATCAAGAACAGAGAGAGAGAGAGAGAGAGAGAGAGAGAGAGAGAGAGAGAGAGAGAGAGAGAGAGAAACAGAGACAGAGAAACATCAAGGTACAGGGGACCAGTCCTCAGCAATGCTTTGGCACCGGTGCCAGAATGGGAGGAGAGAGCTGAGTGCATGGATATGCAGAGTGGGGTTCTGAGTATAAAACTGTTAGGTGCCTCCCTCCCAGCTCTGCCTCCTCCTAAGCACCCTCCCTTTCCACAGAGCCCAGCCAGGCTTTATCAGTCAGTGCCTTCTGCCACCGGGAAGCCAACTGGAGTGTGAGTACTGTCCTTATTTCTACTCATTTCCGTTGGGTGCTCAGTCCACTTTAAATTTTGCTCTTTTGCCCTTTTCTTTGTTTTAATAGAGAAATGTTTCCGATGGTTGGAACTGAGTAGAAACAGCAAAGTCAGAGTTCTGGTAGACTAGAAAACAATTTCCCAAAGCCACAGGCTTCTTCCTGGACCTTTGAAAGCCATGTCTTTGTTTATGATCTGAAGCTGGGTGGGGACAGCACCTGAGTCCCATGTGGAAGAGGGTGTTCAGCAAGGTGTCTCCAGGACATGCTAAAAAAACTGAGTTCGTCGACATTGTATGGGAATTTCGGCTGTGTTCTTGAAATAATTAAGCAAAGTTGGAGACCTATCTATATGACTCCAAAAAAAACGGAGGTACTGGCAATGGCCCTTTCTGATCTGGTTTTATGGCCCTTCCTGCATGTGCTGTCCTGCTGTGCAGGGAGTGTGCTCTCCATGGGAAGGACTCATCAGTCACACTGAAGCCATGAATTGGGCAGGTTCTTTGCAGTTGCAGTTTCTGATGTGGAATTCAGACCTCAAGGCACCTAGGAGTGGTGTGTCCCCAACAGAAACTTATTTTAATCAGGATACAGGAATAACTGACAGCGTTCTCTTTGTTTCTGCTTACAGCTTAAAAGGGAAAACTGAGCACCTCCACCACTTAATATCAAAAACTACCTAAAATAGAGATTATTGTAAGTACCACATAAATGTCAATGTTGAAAGTCTCTTTAATATGAAAGAGCACAAATGTTTAAATTCTTTCTTCCATCTCCATATCCAAAACTGTGTACTATTTTTTAAAGTTATACGGCATACCTCATTTTATTACAACTAACTTTAACTTTGTGTAAATTGTGGGGCTTTTTAATAAACTAAAGGTAAGACCCTCCACTAGAAAATAGATTATGACTCACGGAAGGCTCAGATCATGCTTAGCAATTTTTTAGCAATAAATTATTTTTAATTAAGGTGTATATATTGTGGTTTTAGATATATGCTATTACACGCGTAACAGACTACAATATGGTGTAAACATAACTTTTTTTTTTCTGTTTTTGTTAATCCTCACCCGAGGATATTTTTCCACTGATTTTCAGATAGAGTGGGAGAGAGGGAGAGAGAGAAAGAGACATCGACGTGAGAGAAATACATCCATTGATAGCCTCCCGAAAACCCCAACCGGGGCTGGGGATCAAGCCTGAAACCAGGTACATGCCCTTGACTGGTAATCAAATCCAAGACCCTTCGATCCAAGGGCCAACACTCAAACCACTGAGTAAAACTGGCCAGGGCTAAACATAACTTTTATATGCACTGGGAAACCCAAAAAATTTGTGCGACTTACTTTATTGAGATACTCATTTTATTATAGTGGTTTGTACTTGAGACATAGAAAATTAAAGACTTTTAGGTCTCACCAGTTGCACAAATTTCTAATATATGCTGACTAAAGAACAAGTTTTATTTTGTATAATAAAATAGAGAGTGCTGCCCTGGCCATTTTGGCTCAGCTGTTAGAGTGTCTGCCGAGAACCCAAGGGTCACGGGTTCAATTCCCCATCAAGGGCACATACCCGGGTTGCAGGTTTTATCCCGGGCCCAGTCAGGGTACTTTGGGAGACAACCAACTGATGTGTCTCTCTCACATCGATGCCCCCCCCCCTCTCGTGCCCTCCCTCCCTCCCTCCCTTCCACTCTCTCTAAAAATCAATGAAAAAATATCTTCGGGTGAGGATTAACAACAACAACAAAAAATAGGGAATGCTGGTTGGATTGACATTTTGATACTGCCTTATACTAGAATGATGAGAACTGTTTTGTTTCACTAGTGACCTAGGCTTTCTGACTCCTGCCAGAAAGCAGCTTCCGGAATATTCTCGGGATGCTAAGTCCAGCACACACAGGCCTTGTTGTGGATGTCAGCCATGCAGGAGAATGAGGCTTACTTTGAGGCATGGGGAGATGTTTATTTGTCAGAACAGTCACTGTTTCCGGCGAGGGCATAGGGTGAAACTGGGGATGGCCGAGCCCTTTGTCATTGTTCAACCCCCATCCCGGAGTTATTTCCAGGTGGCCACGGGGACAGGCTGTGTCCACTCCACCACTGAGCCTTAGCGCCTACTCTGCGTTCAGAATCTTGGGTGGTATTAACGTGCTCCAGACCAGGCGACAAAGAACCACCAAGGCCTTCCTTTCCCGTAAGGCTGACTCCGCTGAGGGAGCTTGGATGGTCCCCACTTAGAACTTCAGTTTTCTTTTCTATAAAATGAAAGTTTGAATTATGCACTCTCTAAAACCCTACCTAGCTCTGAAAGTTTTCCGTCTCTTGGCTCTAAGAAAATATTGATGTTGACCTCAAAGGATGTGATTCTTCAAGATGTGCGTGATTTTTGGGGTGGGAGAAAGAGGGGCAGAAGGGCTAAGCCTCTACACTGACAAAATGCGACAGTTCCTGCTGGTCTCTTTCTTTCTGTCTTCTCTATTTATTATTATTTTTTTAACCATGTATAAGATTAGAGTCCTACTGTTGGGCTTCTTAATCTTCTTAATGTTGCTCTTTCTCAAACAAAAATATATAATGTAACCCACAGACACGTCAGTTTGGTACTTAACTAGCCAGACAGTTTAAGCACAGATAAACACATGCCCACAGTTTCTTTCTAAGACATGACAGTGATATTCCCCACAACTGTAGATTGTTCTGAATGACTCTAGTGGAGTGTAAGTTCTCAGGTTTCATACTGAGCCAGTAAAAGAAAGTAAAAATTTTTTAAAAAGAGGAAGAAAAAAAGAAATAACACACAACTTTTCTGGAATTACTGAAGGAAGAATAATATTCTTGGATGCAACGGAAGTTTAAAACAAAACAAAACATAAAAAGCTGCCACATTTGTAGAATTCAACTAAGAATTGTATATTATTAACAAGATGATGTCCATTTTTTTATTTTTATTTTTTTTACTGATTTTAGTGAGAGAGGAAGGAAAAGGGGGAGGGAGAGAGAGATAGAAACATCGATGAGAGAGAACATAGATTGGCCGCCTCCTGCATGCCCCTCACTGGGGATTTGGCCCATAACCTGGGCATGTGCCCTGGCCAGGAATCAAACCAGTGACCTCTTGGTGCATGGGTCGACGCTCAACCACTGAGCCACACAGGCCGGGCTGATGTCCAATATTTAGCAATTGTCATTCAGATACAAGAAAAAAAAATGCCATTTAGCATTCTCTTAGACTGGGCTTTTACTGTGTGTTAAGTGTAGCTAGTGTCTTATTACAGAAAATAAGAGTCCACACCACATCTTCACACATTTGTAAAGAGCAAGACTGAGGAATTGTTGCATTGGACTCAGTCCCGGGATGGAGCCCTCACAGTTCACCCCGAAGCATTTCAGAGCCAGAAGCCCACCCCTTCCACTGGAACAGGTTTCAGACCTGCCAACTTCTCAGCGGTGAAAAAACGCAGCAGAACAAGATCTGTGTGTTGGTGTCTCTGCTGGCTGGTTTGCCACCGTTTGTTTCATTCTAAGCAAAGTAAAATGAACGTTTAATTCTGTAGTCAGCCCCTTGTCTCTCTGCCGATGGAGCTCTTGGCTGATGGAGCAGTCGGCCCTCCCCGTTAGAGGTCTCGGTCTGGGGCCACATCTCCCCCACCTGGCGCGCGCCTGCCTCCACCCAGCTTGCGGTTCACCTGCTCATCCGAGCCAGGGCTCAAGTCCTGCTGATTCTAGTATTTTTTGCCTTTGTCATGTATGGAGAGTGTGGAGAGGAAGGAGGATGAATGGACAGTCTTTGATTGGCGGCGCTGGTGATGCCTCTCCTGTTCCTCATCGGAGGGACGATTTTGGAAATAAAGCTGGTGAGGCGGCGAGCGGAGGCGTCTCCCAGCTAAAGTTGGCCTTGACTAGTAGGCCACCAGAACAGGTATGCGTCCCTCATGCAGCCTCTGCCTCTGGGAACCTGAGCACCTGCGCCCCTGTGTCCTTCCTAACCAGAGCCTGGGAATCGGGGTCCTCATGCTCTGCTGAGTGGTGCGGCTTGGGCTGACTGGATGCACCTGGCGCTTGGTCCAGAAACTCATTTGCCTCTTCTCATGGCTCAGATGCTGGACAGCTGGGCTGCGGGGTTTTGATAACTGTGGAAAAGCTACGAAAAACTAGTCTGGGGTTTTACCTTACCCTGCTTCTATTTTATTCGGGTTTCTTTCATTTTCTGGCCCTGCCTTTTTAGTTGAAGTTTGCTGGCCTACTTAGTCAGATTTGAGAAGTTTGAGCCTCAGGACATGGTCCCTGCTCCATTGGCTCCCATTGCCTTTAGGATGTGTGGATTCTCAAAATTCCCTAAAGAAATGCATGGCGTCTAGCGTGATAAAACTTTAGGGTAAACTGCAGCTGGTTTCTCATAACCAGTACTCATGCCTGAGTTCTGAAGCAAGTTGTCAAGGCTCACAAGGCCTCCAGAAACTTCTCCCAGGTCAGAAAGAAATGGTTCCTGGGGGCCCTGAATCAGCCGCATCTGTCTGCTCAGCTCAGGAGCAGATCCCTCTGTCTTCTGGAGGAGACCCAACCACCCATCCATGTGGATCCTGGCGAGAACCGCTGGCAATAAGCCTTCTTTATTGTGGGCTGTGGATTCAGACAAAACATTCGATCTTTATTTAACTTTGGGTGGCTCTGCAGGGAACTCAGGCCATTCAGGTTCTCAGTCACGTCGGGCCAGTTATGATATCAAGTTTTGTATCTGTATCTCCAAAATCTCTGAGGCCATGGTGTATTTAAAACCCTCTAAAATAAATACATATAGGCTGGAAATGTTGAGGACTGAATTTGTTCACCCTGGAATAACCCATATATACCTAATCATTCCTGTGCTCGTTGGAAAACACCCCTTTAATGTTGTCAATTCCATGCTGATAAGCTTACTTAGAGAAACACATGGCAATTGTACCTGCGCTTCTGTGGTTACCTGAGCTGCAGTCTGATGCCTCTGATAAGTTGGCATGACTTTTAAATGAATCCCTGTCGCTGAGGAAGGGGCTTGCCAAGCAATGTTTTCAGTAATGAGATTTAAAGAGGGAGATATCTGAAAATAAATGATAGCCATCACTTAGATTATGAAATAAAAGACCATTTTTATAATTGCTTCAGAATTCAGTTTTACTTGCTTAACTATGGGGACAGTGAACTCCATAGAGACTTAGTTTTGGCTCCTGACTTCCAGCAATTTTCAATTTAAGAGTTTTTTAATGCAAAGATTCATTGGAAGCCTCGCAAATGCAAGAATCTAACACTATTTTGCCAAGAAAAAATAAAAGTAATCTGGAATGTGTTCCATAAACACCTTCTACTTTGTGTTATGATTAATGGTTCACCATTGTTTGAAAGGAGGATGGTTAGTTGGGCAGTGGAATAATACAATTAACGTACCATTGTTACTTAGTAAAATATCAATTACCCACATTGATTTCTGTACTAGGATTAATAGAAGGCGACACTAGAGTCACGAATAGGAAAAAAAAAGCATGACTTTTCTGTTAATAGCTATTTGTTAGCTATGGTAAATGGATGAGGCCAAAAATAGCCATGAGAACCCTTATTCACAGCCTGGCCACAGGTGGAAGGTGAGCTGATTTATCCACATGGGCTTTGGTATTTCTGAGGTCATGTCTTACGTACCTGTGGCTTCAACAATCCACAATTATGCCTTCTGGGGACTGGTGGTTTTGGTGTTCACCTACTTCACCCTAACCTGGTTCTGCTCTTGGCTTTCCTTGCACGCTCAAGGTGGCTTTACCATGGTCTTTTCCCTTTGCCTACTTCCGAGGTTACATCATTGGTATTCCTTTGTGTCTACCGTGGACACCATGAAGAGGGTTCTGTCTGTAGAGCACCATACTCTGGTGATGTTGGTGCTGTCCCATTAACACTGATCATGAGAAGTGAAGCGTCTCATAATGAACACAAGTCACGACGACGTTGCTTGTCTTTTCCTGAAGCATGTTCGCTACGACTATGCCTGGACATCCTAATACTGTACAATTCTTAGGTTACAGTTCTTTGGTGTTCAACAGCTGGGTCCACTCCCACCTTACGTATTTTCTACACCTTTGTGTAATGTTATTCTTGCCTGTTTTAAAACATTTAAATAACAAATTCCAAAAATAAGGAATATCTTGCCTGATTTGTGGACTTACTCGAGGATTCTTTGAATTTGGAGAATGTGTGTGAAAGAGTTATTAGGCAGTGTTGACACACACAAACTGGTTTTAAATTTTTTCTTCTCTTTGAACTTCAAGAAATAAAACCTTTTTTCATAAAATTAAATTTTAATTTAAAACAGCTGTTGGTCCGAGAAAGTAACCGATTGGTCTGCATTAGTGAGCACCATTTTGTAATCTGATAGCTAGCTCCTCTAACTGGCAGCATGAAGCTTACGCATCGGACGCTAGGTCTTTCTATATTATTATTTGACTCGCTGTGTTGAAATGAACTGTTTTCTAGTGTGTTCCACCAGGCTGAGTGAGATCTTTGAGTGCAGGATATAGGTGCTCAATAAATGTTTGTTGAATTAGAAACGGAACCTTATGAAAACAAAGACCAGAACCTTCTCATGGTAGCATCCAAGACAGTAATGACAACAGGAAGGTGGAGTTTGGGTTTGAGCAATAATCCGCATGATGGTATTTCAAGAGGAAAACAGCGCTTTCTTAGTATCATGGGATGTCATGGTCCAGAAGAAATAATGCCTTTAACTCATCCTCTGTGGCTACTGTGACCGGTCTGGAGAATTCCACATTAGGGTATTTATGAGTTCTGTTCTCCCCTCAAGCAGCCAGAGGAAGAGAGAGCCATGGAGGACAGCCCCCGTATGGATAAAGTGAACCGAGGTGAAAACCCGAGCTCACCATGTCGAGGGAGAAGGTGCCATCCCAAGGTTCTTAGCTATGTCACTGGGGATATGAAAGAATTTGCCAACTGGCTCAAAGGTATTTATGCTTCCATCCCTCGGAGAGATGTGAGAAGTGCTTTGGAAGAAATTACATGCTGGTTCTTCTACTCTTGTCTTTAGTTATATTCTCCTACCTTCTATCTATCTCTTTCTTCTGCATTTTTTAACTTTTTATCTTCCAACCTGCAATCCTCTTCAAACGTTTTTTATGGAGATAGTGCTCAGGGCCAAGTTCCTGCTCATATCAGAGGCAGGAAACTGGCTCCGTTTTATAGTTTCAGTACTTAAAATACAAAATTCTGCTATTGGTAGTTCAGCCCTTTGGCTTAAAAGTCTGTACTTCTAAGAATAGTAAATAAGTGCATTTGGTGCTTCCTGGAGCTGAGGTTCTAGTAGCGACCGTGTGGGCTGAACATAAAGAAATCGCATGCTTTTAGGGACCTGGGTGCCACTAAAGGGGAAAGTGTTCAAAGAATATAAAAAACCAGTTTCACCTTCATCAGAGGGGATTTTGATGGTTTTGCTCAAGAGGGCCCTAAACTTGGGAAGGGGCACCTGGCTGCTTGCTTAGTTCTGCTCCTCTCCTCTTTTCCAGACAAACCCCAGGTGCTCCAGTTCTTTGACTGGGTTCTTCGGGCCATAGCCCAGGTGGTGCTCGTCAACAACCCCATCAGTGGAATCCTGTTTCTGGTGGGATTACTGGTCCAGAACCCCTGGTGGGCCCTCCTTGGCTGTGTAGCGACAGTGGTCTCCACCCTGACAGCCCTGTTGCTCAGCCAGGACAGGTAGGTGCACCCATACAAGCCGCCCTGCTCACTCTGAGGACACGGGAGCCAACCAGTGACTTGGGAAGCCCAACAAAGTCCCTACTCTTCGCAAGAGAAACGACCTTTATTCCACAGAACTCTTTATATTTGCTTTTACTGAAGGGTCCGGGTATCATTTATTCATGGTCCCTGAATAAGTAACCAGTCTGCACAATGCCACATTCTCAGAGCAGTACATGGTACCCAGAATTAAGCTATAGGAAAATCCAAGGAGAGATTCTAAAGGGATATTCTTCACTAATCAATCAATTAGTGATCATTAACATTCTTTCTTGTTTGGGGCAAAAATGCATGAGTTCATGAAGAGTCTTATTGGCTTCACAATCCCTTTTATTTCTTGTTTGCAAAATTTGTTCAGTAAATTTATTCTGCTCAGCTTCTAGAGAGATGAATAACCACAAACTCCAAGTTATCAAGTTCAGACTTTAGTGTTAGGATATCTTTTGAACCACATGCAAGGTTAGAAATAGCGTCTGCTTCATACATGTGTTATTGTTGTTGTCGTTGTTAATCCTCACCTAGGGATATTTTTTCCATTGATTTTTTTAGAGAGAGTGGAAAGGGAGGGAGGGGGAGAGATAGAAAAACATGGATGTGAGAGGAACACATGGATTGGTTGCCTCTGCCGTCTGGGGCCGGGGATCGAACCTGTAACCCAAGCACATGCCCTTGATTGGGAATCGAACCCACAACCCTTTGGTGCACCCATGGATGTTCTAACCATTGAGCAACACTGGCCAGGGCTACCTTATACATTGATCTGTCCAGTGACTAAAATGTTTTATGGCATTTTAAAAAGTAATAAATATAAGGAAATTGCTCAATTTGAAAATACATTGATATGTAGTTACCCTTCTCAGATGAGCAGTCTTAGTCTCATTTTATAATAGAACTACTGAATTAAATGTGATTGAAATGTTAAAAAAAAAAGAAAGAAAGAAAGAAGGGATGAGCTGACTCCCACCAGGGCTGCAGACCACTCCTGACCTACCAGTTCCTCCAGGGAGGCTGCCGGTCTTCCAGGTGTTCAAGGTCAATGCACCACCCCCAGTAGATTATCGTTACACAACTAAGTTCTTGTAACTCTTCCTGTGGATTTCCTAAGGAGATTCTTGAGGAGAGAGTCAGCAAATGTGCCACTTTTGCATCAGGTTCCAGGAGCCTGGTTTGTTTTCTGTAGAGGGTGATTTACTATTTTAGGTTGAACCCTATTCCAGTGCATGTCAAGAAATGGTCTTTCCACTTTGGAGGTGTGGTCCAGGCCTGTGCCATATCAAATATTCCTTCATTGCTTTGCTCCACTGAAAGTTGACCCATTTTCCTTATCAGATCTATTTTAGATGACCAGCCATATTCACACATACTAGTTTCCAAATCTCTTTTCTTTTCCCTGGTCCTAAAAGGACCACATTGAAACAGCAAGCCTCTGTTTTAAGTGAAGACACATCTTCTTGTTGCTTTAACCAGTCCATTCCACAACTTGTAGACATTGCCATTAAATGTGTCGGCCAAACCCAAGCAGTAATTCTGAAAGTCGGTTGTTGAGAGGATCCATCTTTGCAGTAGTTCTCCACTGTCATCATGTTTAGTCCTGATTCCCAAGGGCATTATCACTTCCTGGGTTAAATCAATACAAAGTGCATCACCTCCCACATGGCCTGGAGGCTTATTAAAGGTAGACAAAGGACGTTTCAGCTAATGCTCTCACTCAGAATGACATCATCCTGCTGAGGCACTGGGGCTCCACTCCCGTTAAGACCACGCCCTCTTCCACCGCCCCCCCCAGTCCGATCTCACCCACTCCATGATCTTCACACCTGTGACCTCATTTGACCTTGAATGGTGGGCCCTTCAAGGTGCCAAACGTTGCCAATGGCTTCTACTTTCCGACTATGGCATAGGAACCGTTTTGACCAGGAGTAGAAACTTTACCCGTAAGACGACTTTTAGAAGTGAGGTTACCAAGTGCCCAACAGAAGATGAGTGGATAAAAAAGCTGTGGTGCATTTACACAGCGGAACGCTGTTGGCCGTGGAAGGATGACCCGGAGAGCGTGGGGCTGGGTGGGTGGGCCAGTCAGAGGGGGGCAGATGCCGTGTGTTTTGCTTATATGTGGAATCTAATGAACAGAATAAACTAACAAAGAAAATAGAAACACTCACAGCTATCCAAGGGGAGGGGAGAGAGGAGTTAGGTAAAAACGGTGAAAGGATTAAGAAAAAAAAAAAACCTCATAGACAACAGTATGATTGTTGCCAGAAAAAAACGAGGGTGGAAGAGGGAGGCAGGAGAGGGCAAAGGAGGATAAATGGTGATGGAAAGAGACAGGACACGATACAACACACAGATGAAGTATTATATAATTGTACACCTTAAACCTATATACTTTTATTAACCAATGTAACCCCCAAAACTTTAATTTTAAAAGGACATATTCCCTTAGAATCTCCTAAATCTCATGACATGCAGTTACAGGGCTAGACTGTCAACATAAACAACATCCAGACCTGGAAGAATTTTTATTTGAGCCAAACTGACCCAAATTGTTGGGAAGCAAAGTATCAAGTGATTGAGAAAATGCTCCAGAAAACAGCAGTTTTACAGCTTATTTTATACATTAGAAGCAAAGCAGGAGGAGGTAAGGAGGTTACATGAAATCCATTGGAGATAGATTAGGGAGTTGGGGGGGTATCTCGGGGATTGGATAAAAAATTTTCTTTTACTGAGGCAGGGAAAAGATAGTTAACAGTTAGTGATGAACATAATAATAACAATAAAGGGATTTGTGGTCTCTGCTGTGGTGCAGTGTTTGCTCCCTGGGGGATCTGGAAAAAGAAAATCACCCTCCTTGTGCAAAGGTATGTTATCTTAGACACAAACAGACAGCAGACAGGCTCAGTTAAGGTCAAGATGGACCCTTGTTAGGGAAAAGCCCCATCTAGGACAAGACTACCTGCTTTGAACTGCTTTTCGTTAGAAAGTTTTCATTTCAGACCATCCTATGTGGCTACTTTAGGTCTCTGAGGGTGTAAGGCTCCCCTGACAGGCCTCCCTTGAGTTCGTCAGGTTTAGTATGTGGCCCCTTTTTCGTCCAAATGGAAGCACAGGAAGTTGAAATAAATATATGCTAAGTTGGAAGATGAATGTTTATGAGATCAAAGACACTACGAAAGTGAATTTACATTTCAAGAATCTTACATCTCTCACCAAGAAAATCAGACTTCGGAAACAGTTTCATCTAAAAGCTTTATTCAAGTCAGGGGCCCTTAATAATTTAAAAGAAATAATAACTTCCCAGAGGAAAGACTAACAGGAAGCAGAACCAGTTCCTTGCTGGTTTCCCCTTCTCCCCTAGATGCTGAAAGTCTATCTTGAGCTACGATGCCTCTGTAGGGGGTTGTTCCAAGTACACATTTGTATTTTGCCTACATATATTTTACTGTTTCATGTTTTTATTAGTATTCGGCTTCCATAGACTTTGAAATAAGTTTCTAAATAGAATCTCATTTTCTAATGTGAATCTGATCTGGAATGTACAACGGTCACTAATGTACAAGTCCAGCCAACGCCCACTCAGGAAATATCCCTGCTGTGCCTCTCGCCCACAGGTCAGCAATTGCGGGGGGCCTGCATGGCTACAATGCCACCCTCGTGGGGCTCCTCATCGCTATCTTTTCAGACGAAGGAGACTGTTTCTGGTGGCTGTTATTTCCTGTATGTGTTGTGTCCATGACTTGGTAAGTTGTGCCTGGTCTTCAAAATGCTTTTTTTAAAAGAATTATAGTGAGGGGAGGGTAGTTGGAGAGTTACAGCTCATGGGTACAGGGTTTCCGTTTTGCAGGATGGATGGTGGTGATGATTGTACAACAGTGTGACTATACTTAGTGCACTTAACTGCACACTTTAAAATGGTTACTTGGTAAACCTCATGATATGTATATAACACAACTTCTAAAGAAGTAAATATTGGAAAAAGGAAACATTGAAACAGACTGATGCACGTGGCCCTTCATACCGCCTCTCCCCTCTCCCCACGATTCTGATGTCATTGGTCTTGGTTGGGGGTGTTGCCTGGGCACAGGGAGTTTTAAAGGCCCTTGGAAGGTTTAAAAGTACAACCAACGTGGAGAGCCTCTCACTGCAGGGTTTGTTGAAACGAAGACTGCAGCTCCCCTCCCAGAGCTCCTGATTCAGTTCCTCTTGGACGGAGCCTGCGAATTTGCATTTCTAACAAGTGCCCAGATAATGCTGATGTGACCAATCCGGGCATCCCACTTTGAGAACCACTGTGCCTCTATGAACTGCCCTTCCCACCCCCTTCAAAAAATTCTTTACTGAGGAGCAGCATCAGCACCCTGGCCGAGTGAGACAAAAATTCTTGACTGAACTCAGTTCCTTTTTTAAAAAACCTGAATTCTTCAAACTAGTTTCTCAAAAGCCAAATAAACTATGAGTTCATTTTTTTTCACTTTATATAAGAATCATTCCCTCTATGACAGGATTTATCCCAAGTGCGTTTGGATGTTTGTTTGCTTTTTCTGTGGGAAGTTTTCCAACAGGGCACCTTAGGGGCGTATTTCGGGGTGAATCCAAGGCCCTCCACAGCAGAGGTTCGGCTTGGCAACACGCTGTCTCACCCACAGTCCCCCACTCTGTTCTCTCGTTGTTTGTAGTCCGCTGCTCTCAAGCGCATTGAACTCCGTGTTCAGCAAATGGGACCTCCCTGTGGTCACCCTGCCCTTCAACATGGCAGTGACTGTGTACTTTTCAGCCACGGGACATTACAATCCGTTCTTCCCAACCAAACTGATCACACCTAAGACCTCAGTTCCGAATGTCACCTGGTCTGAACTCAATGCCCTGCAGGTAAGATACACTGTCTCTTCACGTTCCCTCGGCTTTGGAGGCTAGCCAGCATCCCGGTCACCCACTCACGGGATCAGAGCCTTGCAGAGACTCGGCTCTGGGGGGACATTCCTGTCTTCATTTTGCCAGCTAAGGCATTTGTTCTGCTCCAAAGCTTTTTGGGCTCTAAGGGGTTTTTAAAATTACTGATTTATTTATTTAATCCTCACCCAAGGATATTTTTTCCATTATTTTTAGAGAGAGTAGAAGGGAAGGTGAGAGGAGGAGGGGGGAGAGAGAGACATTGATGTGAGAGAGACATGTCAATTGGTTGCCTTCCGAATGGGCACCCACCGGGACTGGGATCTAACCTGCAACCCAGGTACATACCCTTGACTGGGAATTTAACCTGTGACCTTTCAATGTGCAGGCTGATGCTCTAACCATTGAGCACGCTGGCCAGGGTAGGGATTTTTTTAAGTATTTGGTGAAAGCTAACTTTTCCCCCTCTTTTCCTAAGATCTACAGTGCTAATCCAAGAGGATAGCACCTTTGGAAATCAGACACTCTATTGCAAACTCAGCCCTTGTTTGGGTGGGTGTGGTGGGGACCAGCCATTGATGCCATTGATGCTGGGAACTCCAGCCTGGGGTTCACTATCATGTCCACCACAGAAACTCTGCTCTGCTTTTTCTTATCCTCAAGATCACAGAATCAGTACCTGTATAGCAAGCGCCCCACACACTTGTAATGTGGGCCAGAGTTTGAGGACCACTGTCAAGGCTGTATACTACGTATCCCTTTACAGATGTGCATAGAGAGAACGCCGTTCTTTTTTTTATTTTATTTTTTATTTTTTGTGGTATGTGCCCCTAGCAGGAACCGAACCCAGGACTCTCTGGTCCGCAGGCCGACGCTCAACCGCTGAGCCAAACTGGCCAGGGCGAGAATGCGGTTTTTAAATACCAGGTTAACCCAAATACAGTTCCAGCTCTTCCAATGGGTGTTTGTTTAAGTTTTCTTGATTATTGAAAACAAGAGAACACTTGAAATCAGAAGAAAACCACAGGTGCAAAAGACTGGCTTTCTCACTATATCAGGTTATAAAACACATTTTCTATGCTGAGCAATTAAAACATGTGAGAAGCTCAAGTAGTCTTTTCTTTAGCTTCTTTTCCAGAAAATGAATGGGAGTATTTGGAAACAACTCAGAAGAAAAATAAAAACGTATTATAATGCCCCATAAAAAATGATATAAAATAGTATTCATCGATCGACCTGTATTGGCACTGTCCAATACAATAGCTGTTAGTCCCATGTGGCTATTTTAATTTGAATGTAAAATTAATTAAAATTTAAAATTACAAATTTGTTCCTTAGCCTCACTAGCCACATTTCAGGTGCTCAACAATCCCATGCATTGGACAACAGAGATACAGATTATTCCAAGATCGTGGAAAGCTCTATTAGACAGTGCTAGCCAAGGGGGGGGGGGGGGGGTCTTGTCCTTCCCTTCCCTCTGAACGACCACCTCAACATCAACTCACTTATTTCCCACCTCCCCCAACTCCCCTCCTCCCTGACTACTTGAGGGATAGTTCTGCTGGATGAGCCTGTGTCAAGTTCTCTGGTCTAGAAGAAACAGAAAATGATCTTGTGTAGATATGAAAAACCAGCATGGGTGGGAAGGACTCAGGGTCCATCTTAGGGTGGAATCAAACTCACAGTAAGGACCTGCGCGGTGAGCAAGGACCAACCCACAGGTGGAAGCCAGCATTACATCCAGCCTAATGCGTGGAGGTAGAGGACGCTTCCTCATGCCAAAACTGGGACTCCGTGTCAGAGGTACTGCCCCTGAAGGTCCTTGACACAAGATGCACAAAAGACCTAGGGAAGGGATCTTTCAGCAAATGGCCTTGATTATAAGGGAACTAACTAAAAGTTCTGAGCCGGCGGGAGATCACATCCACAACACAAGGCCAATGTAGAGCAAAATGGCTTTATTGCATGGGCCTTGGTGCAGGCAGACTGAGCAGAGAAGGGTTCAGCCTCGAATCAGGATTGGGGTGTCGGTTATATACTCCACTTTTAGCTTCCGATAGTTCCTGCTGATATACTTTGTCAGGCCCATTGTCCACTTTGCAGCAGGACTGATCTGGTGTCCTGACCGACATCTGCTGGGTTATTCATTGTCTTGCGGATAATCCAGATAATCCTTATCCGTACTCAATAGAAAGCTGAGCAAAGGTTATGCAAGCAACACAATTTCCACAGTTTCTGCCTTTTGCAAACTTTTACCTTTACCCTTTAAAACATTACTAATCCTTTCACTAACATGACTAATCCTGCCTATCCTGGCCCTACCAGAGTGTTGTTCTAAAGAATTCTCATTTGTGAATTTAAATCAAGCCCTTCATTTAATGTGTTTACAGAATGGCAGTATCTTAATCTGCCATTTTGTAAACACAGGAGCTGAATCCAGGCTTCAGCCAGAAAGTAGAACGGTGCAACTTACGTGTTTTGAGAACTGACATTTGATAACAGAATAAACTAAGGTATCTTGGTTTCAAATAATACATAGCCTCGTTAACAATAGAAGTGTAAATATGGTCCTGATTCACAAACTTGCCGATAATTGCTTCTGAATTGTGGATAAGATAGCCTGACTTTGGGTCTCTGGCTTTAGCATGAACCACCAGATTGCTTGGGAATAATAATACTTCTATGGACTGGCCTCGGCACTGATGGACATTTGGAAGCAACAGAAGTTTAAGCTGTGGTCCCTGCCAGGCTCACAGGGAGGCACAGGAGATCCTCACAGTGGGGACAGCGACACCACACGAGGAGCTAACAGTTACCAAGGCCTAGGGCCAGAGGGAGCAGGAGGGCAGTGAGTGAGGGCATGGGCTGTGTGCCCCAGGGAAGGGCTGCTGTATCTCTGGGAATAAAGCAGAACTATGTCTCAGATTTTTCTGTGAAGAGAGAGGGAGAGCCCTGGCCGGTTTGGCTCAGCGGTTAGAGCGTCGGCCTGCGGTCCAGAGAGACCCAAGTTCGGTTCCCGCTAAGGTCATGTACCTCGGTTGCAGTTTGTCCCCGGCCCTGGTCGGTCGTGTGGGTGGCAGCTACTCGATGTGTCCCTTTCATGTCAATGTTTCTTTCTCTCTCTCTCTTCCTCTCTCTCCCTCCCACTCTACCTGAACAAAAAAAAAAAAAATGGAAAAATGTCCTCGGGTGAGGATAAAAAAAAAAAAGAGAGAGAGAGAGGGAGAATTTTTTAAATTAAAGACACTGATCTCAAAAGATTAGCCCTAGTCGGTGTTGCTCAGTGGTTAGAGCATCAGCCCATGCATTGAGGGGTCGAGGGTTTGATTTCAGGTCAAGGGCACTACCTGGGTTGCAGGTTTGATTCCTGGCTGAGGTTGGGGCTCACGCAGGAGGCCCATCAATGTGTCTCTCATATAATTGTTTCTCTCTCCTCTTTTTCTCTCTCTCCCTCCCTCAGTCCCTTCCACTCGCTCTTAAAAAAAAAAAAAAAACAATGGAAAAAATATCCTCAGGTGAGGATTAACAACAACAAAAAAGACTAGATATACTAAATCTAAAATTACCTCGTATGTGCTTGTGGGTGTCCTATGGGTTTCTGTCCAATTGTTTTAATGACTTTATTTCCTAACTTATTTTTGCAGTTACTGAAATCCGTGCCTGTGGGCATTGGTCAGATATATGGTTGTGACAATCTGTGGACAGGGCTCATTTTCCTGTGCGCCATCCTGCTTTCTTCCCCACTCATGTGCCTGCACGCGACAATCGGGTCATTGCTGGGGATGGTAGCAGGTAAGCGAGCCTCCTCCAGACCCTTCTTGAGGTCTCCGCTTTGGAGGGATCAGTAGTTCCCAGTTGCTGCCACCAGCCCAGACCCCGCTCGGGGAGCATCCAACCTTTGGTGCGCGGCTCTGACGCCTCCTGTCTTTATCCAACAGCACTCAGTCTTTCGGCCCCGTTTGAGGACATTTACTTTGGACTCTGGGGTTACAACAGCTCTCTGGCCTGCGTTGCAATAGGAGGAATGTTTGTGGCGCTCACCTGGCAAACTCACCTCCTGGCTCTCACCTGCGGTGAGTATCCCGCGCATCTGGAGGGAGGCTTGCTTGTGACTATGGGATCAGAATCCCGAACACACAGTAAAAAAGGACTGCATGAGAAACTAGGGCTGGGGTCCTACAGTGGGACCCGTGCTACCTAAGTGTGTGACCAGGGCGAGCGACATCCCTTCTCTGGGAGTATTCAAGCCGGCTCTGCCTGGCTTGGTGCTTATTGAGACAGGAGAGCCTGTTTACAATATGTGCATGTTGGGGGATAGAAATGCAACTTGTCCTGTGTTCTCCATACCAATCATTGGACTCGAGAAACTAAAAGGAAATAACTCAAGCTAGCTACAGAGCCATGTCCCCTGGTGAACCAGGTAGAGTTTTGTGCGGCCCTTTGAGATCTCATTAATCCAGCTCTGCTCTGGTTTGAGTGAGCGGCGGAATTACCAGGAAGGTTTGTTCAAGTGCAGACTGCTGGGCCCACCCTCAGACCCTACTTCATGGTTGGACGTGGAGGAAGCAGTTTGCATTTCTAACCAAGTGCAGGCGGGGTTGATGCTGTAACTCTGGGGCCACGCTTCCAGAACTGCTGTACCAACCCCTTCCGACCCCTGCATTCTAGCCAGACTCAGCCAGTCGGAGCAAAGGGCTCTAGAGAGCGCTGCTCCATCCTTCTCATTTTACCGTCGGGGCGCTAAGGCCAAAGGACATCCAGTCCATTGGCGGCCAAGGCGCACCTAGAACCCACCTTTGCTAACAACCTGAAGAGTTACGCCCACGACACTACTCTGCTTCCCTTTAGTAGCACGCAGGCCTCCGGTGAGAACGGACTCAAGTGATTTAGGTTTGAAAAGCTAACGACCGTCTCGGCCATTGTGAGGGATGCTTATTTTCCCACAGCCTCCGATGTTCCTAATTCAATACAAGTAAAAGCACTTAAGATAATATGCTAGGCCAGCGCTGTTCAATCTTCTTCATCTCATGGCACACATGAACTAATCACTAAAATTCTGGAGCACGCCAAAAAATACATATTTTGCCAATCTGACAAAAAAAATAATAATTAGGTATAATTTTGATTGATTCACGCTGGATGGCTATGGTTGTGTTGACTGTTGTCATTTTTTTTTTTTTTGGACAATCTAAGGGAAAAGAGAAAGAAGCCAGTGCCCCTGACTAAATAGTCAGGTATGGCACGTTTTAAAAATTCTTGCGGCACACCAGTGTGACGCGGCACACCGGTTGGAAATCACTGTGCTAGACTAAAGGGAATGGCACTCCCTGGGGGGAAAGGGGTGCAGGGATAGTGGAATGTGCAGAAGTCAGTTCAAATCTAATGGGAATGTTTGTCTGGAGCCCGTTTATCCCCAGATTAATCCGTCCAAGTCATTGTTAAATGTCACATATCAGGCGGATTTAGAATGGATTCCTGCATTGGGAGGGGGTAGGCTGGCCCCCCCGGATTTCTAAGGCCTTGTTCAATTTTTATTTCCTGGTGCTGTAGCAAGGATAACAAAACTCAAGTGGCCGCTTATATGTCATTTAGCCAATTTCTTTGTAGTCACACAGCTATTTCCCCTAATAACCCTGTCAAAACTTTTTGCTCATTATCCCATTTGTTCGTAAACTTAGGGGAGAAGAGGAGGCTATAACAGATTATATGGCCACCTGAGCTCAGCTGGGTTTGATTCTTTGTTCTGAGATTTGTTTGAGGTTTCAAACCTTTATTTGGAGTGCATACCTCTATTTTTCTGTGTTGGCAGTAGCAGCAAATACATGATAAACACTCATTATAAAACTCAGACAGTACTAGTAAGAGCCAGGGATTGATTTAAATGCTTTAGATCTCAGGCAGTTCCTGTACACAGAGTTACAGTTAAGGGCAGAAGCCAGGTGAATAAGAGAGAGAGAGCTCTCAGGAGCCCATACGACATTTACAGCTGAACAAGGAGACACCTTGTTCACAATTCCTGGGGGGACACTACAGTTCAGAATCAAGAAGCACCTCCTAGAGAAGCTGGCTTTTCCATAAGTCCTAAAAACTGAGAGGAGAAATTCTTGTTGGTGGAGAGAGTGGTTAGGGCCGGTATGGGGACAGCCCGAGTACATCCTTAAAGATCAAGCAGAAACTGTTTAGGTCACAAGAGTTGATGAGGTCTTTACAGACCGTGGAAAGGAGTGAAACCAAAGATATATGCGGATGTATTTCCTTAAAGTGGGAATATCATCATCATTTTCTTTATTATAGAAGTAGCACTGGCTTATTGAACAAAACAAATATTCAGTCAATACAGAAGAGCATAAAGCAGACAGTGATCATTCATCCTACTCCCTGGACAGAATTGTGCTGCCTCCCTCTTGTAAGAACCCTGTGATTACATTGGGTCCACCCGGATGACCCAGGGCACTCTCCCTGTCTCAAGATTCCAACTTAGTCACCGCTGCAAAGTCCCTTTGCCATGTAAGGTAACATAGTCACAGGTTCTGGGGATTTGGGCGTAGACATCTTTGGGGTCCTTTATTCTGCCCATCACACCTACCTTCCTTGGAGGAGATCAGATTTTCTTTACTCGTTTAGTGTAATGGCTTAGTATAGTGAATCAGTTAAAAGCCCACACCCTGTTGCCCAAAGTCCGGCTCTGCTCATTTTAATGTTAATGGATGCCCAGTTCACCCCACAAAGACCATATCAATTTCCTCTGCTACCACACTGGGTATTATTAGTGGTTTTCATTTTAGACATTGAGTTTTGAGTCAGACCTCCAGCCCCTCTTGTAAAGCAAATATCACGTGTAAAGTGCACAGCAAGTTTCAGCTTGCCCCCAGCACCCAGCTCCTGTCCAACAAAAGCCAACCTTGTCGGCCAAGGTAAATAAATAACAGTCGTTTTCACAGAGGTGCTCTTTCATAGGGCTTTATCAGGAGGGAAGACTTGGCAAACCCTGATGGCGGCTGGCAGGGCTGCCTTCCCTGCCTCTAAACCAGAAACTGTATGACCAGGGAGTTCCTCAATTTTGTTATTTTATCCATGCAAACTGTGAGCACATTTTGTATCTCTTTCGCACGGCTGGGGAATCATAGTAGGACTCGCACATGGTGGTGTATTAGGAGGGACGCTGTCTATGGAGAGCAGAAATCCAGTGTTCCCTTCAGCACTCAAGGGACTTTTCTGCCCCTCGACGCTGTGACGGTCATCACCTACAAACTGTGGTGTGCAGGATTTCACCTCTAAGGAAGGCTTTCCCAGTCCAACTCAGCAAGTCGTAACTGATGGGCAGCTGCTATTAGATAGTCTGACACTCTCGCTATGGACAGAAAAGCAACTTGGAATTGGAGATCACTTTGCAACAATAGAGAGTATAAGACTTGAATACCAAGACTGTGCCTTAGAAAGGTGATAGGTATTAAAAGGAGAGAAATGGCGGTAAGGTCTCGTGCTCTGGAAAGGTGTAAAGGAAGAGCTGGTATTCAAGAGAGTCAGGCACAGTGAATATCTGTTGAATGAGTGAATGAATGAATGAAATGGGGGAGAAAATACAATTTTGGAAACCAAGCAGAAAAACCTTTTAATGCAAGCTGTTGCACCCTTCTGCTCAGACAGTACCTCAATCCCACGGTGCACCCACAGCTGCTATTGTGGAAATACATGACTTCATTTGAGATTCATCAGCTCCTTGCACAGCACGTCTCCAGGTGGCCTTTTTATAGAGGAAGAAACTAGACTCTGAGAAGTTCGGTGATTTGTCGTATAACAAACAAAATGGCAGAGCTGGGGGTTGAAGTTCTGACTGTTTCCAAAGATAAGCCTTTCCCACTAGCAGGAGACAATCCAGATGTGAAAGAATTAGGCACACTGTTGAAGAAAAAAATACCAGGACAAAAGACAAAATATTGGTAAAAGGATGGAAATATGGATCAGAGTTCCCCTTACCACTTCCTGTCCCGCTCCCCAACATAGCTGTTGTGATTTCTCACCAGACAGGAAGACCAGGTGTGAGTGTATCTAACAGTGTGTGCTGGTGGCCTGGGTGTGTGTGCAGGTCCCTGAGCCTCCTCGAGGCCCCTCTCCAACCAAAGCTGAGGAATTAAGGATTCGCTAGTTGAGATCTTTGTTTTTGTTGTTTTACATTGGAAATCACGTATACACTAAAATTGCCTGCTCTGAGATTCGTGCTCACTCCAAGTAAATTTAAAAATAGCATATTTAGCCCAGCCACTGTGGCTCAATGGTTGAGCATTGACCCATGCACCAAGAGGTCCCTGGTTCGATTCCCGGTCAGGGCACATGCCCAGGTTGTGGGCCCAATCCCCAGTGGGGGGCATGCAGGAGGCGGCCAATCGATGTTCTCTCTCATCGACGTTTCTATCTCTCTCTCCCTTCCTTGCTCTATAAAATCAATAAAAAGAGCCCTGGCCAGTTTGGCTCAGCGGTTAGAGCATTGGCCTGCGGTCCGGAGAGACCCGGGTTCAGTTCCCGCTAAGGGCATGTACTTCGGTTGCAGTTTGTCCCCGGCCCTGGTTGGTCGTGCGGGTGGCAGCCACTCGATGTGTCCCTTCACGTCGATGTTTCTCTCTCTCTCTCCCTTCCTCTCTCTGCCTCCCACTCTATCTGTACAAAAAATGGAAAAATATCCTCAGGTGAGGATAAAAAATAAAAATAAAATAAAATAAAATAAAATCAATAAAAAGAAAAAATATTTTTTAAAAATAATAATAAATAAATAAATAATAAAAATAGGGGAAATCTGATCAATGTTTATTCATTGACCTGTGTGCCAACTTTAATGGTATTTGGAAAATGTTCTTCTGGAGAGGAATCCTAGTTGTGTTCAGTTTCTGCTGATCTCTGAGTTACTACCTTCTTCTTTTTTAATACTATGATTTTTTTGTAACTGAATTCTAACCATTAATTTGAGAATCCTAGATGTAGTCAGGTGCAATATAAAAACCACACTATCTCAAGAAACCTTCATAAATTTCATTTTAATTCAACTACGCCTGGATAAAATAACAGGGACGGTTATTTGCTATGGAAGAACCTTTCCTTGAGTATCAGCAAAGCAGCAACGAGATGGTAGCCACAGAAAAGCCACCTTTATTAAGCACGTAGTGTGTGCTGAGCACAGGCGCTCCTCCTTCCATGCACAGACCCGAGAGAGAAGTGCTCCCATAACCTTCGCTGTGCACGTGAGGAAGTGGGGCTGAGAGAGGCCACCAGGCCCTGAAGTGGTGGAGTCTGGATTCGAATCCAGAGCTGCTGACTCTAAACTCATGCTTGTAACCAGGGTTCGGGGCAAGCTGGCAGAATGTGGATGTCTGCATTCCAGGGGTTTTATACAGAAAGGCAGTCTCTTCTGCAATGAAATGAAACCTGCCAACCATTGTTCTTCTTTCTTCGTAGCCCTCTTCACCGCCTACCTGGGAGGCAGCATGTCACGCCTGATGGCTGTGGTGAGTTTGCTTTCATCTCGCTTCGTCATCAGGGACTGATCGGTTTGCAGTGGTCTGGAAACCCTCCTGAAGCCCACGTGGGTGGGGTCCCGCGGCAGGACCCATGACTGTGACAACCATCTCTTTCCCTCTTCTTGCACCTGTCTGTCCTCACCTTCCAGCATCACAGTCACTTTTAGTCCAAACTACAACCACCAGGCTTGTTAGGAACATCAGACTGCTTGATTTAAGGCAGTCAAGTTATACAATTGATGTATAATGTATCATCAATTTATACTCTAAAACTCCGAGTATCAGGAGGTTGACTTTAAAATATCTTTTTATTCGAAGATAAAGGAAAGCCAGGACTATGTAGTAGCTGGGAAAGCAGCAAAGGGAGAAAAAGGATAATTAGCTAAAGACTCAATTTATAAAAAAAATCAAGCCAGTATTTTTTGTTTGTTTTTTTATTCTTTCTGTGGCTACTCTTTTTTTTTTCTTTACTGATTTTTAGAGAAAGAGGGAGGGAATGGGAGAGAGAGACAGAAACATCAATGAAAGAGAACATCTATTGGCCGCCTCCTGCATGCCCTTCACTGGGGATTTGGCCCACAACCTGGGCATATGCCCTGACTGGGAATCGAACCAGCGGCCTCTTGATGCATGGGTCGGTGCTCAACCACTGAGCCATAACGTGTGGGCAAACCAATAGTTTTTCATACCCCAAGGAACACCAAGGAACAGGGGATTTTTTTATTTTTTATTTTTATTTTTTTATTTTTATTTTTTATCCTCACCCGAAGACATTTTTCCATTTTTTGTTCAGATAGAGCGGGAGGGAGAGAGAGGAAGAGAGAGAGAGAGAAACATCGATGTGAAGGGACACATCGAGTGGCTGCCACCCACACGACCAACCAGGGCCGGGGACAAACTGTACCCGAGGTATGTGCCCTTAGCGGGAACCGAACCCGGGTCTCTCCGGACCACAGGTGGACGCTCTAACCGCTGAGCCAAACCGGCCAGGGCTATATTTGCTTTTTTTTAATCCTCACCCGAGGACATTTTCCCATTTTTTTGTTCAGGTAGAGTGGGAGGGAGAGAGAGGAACAGAGAGAGAGAGAGAAACATCGATGTGAAAGGAACACATCGAGTGGCTGCCACCCACACGACCGACCAGGGCCGGGGACAAACTGCAACCGAGGTACGCGCCCTTAGCGGGAACCGAACCCGGGTCTCTCAGGACCGCAGGCTGACGCTCTAACCGCTGAGCCAAACCGGCCAGGGCGGAACAGGGGATTTTTTTAAATTCCCAGTTGTCAATAGGACTTACTTAGACCCATGTCCTGGCTGAATTAATTTAATAGGCAAAATCACTGCCCATTAAGTGTCCCCTGCCACTCTTTCTCCTTTCTTTTCCTTTTTTTATCCATACCCAAGGAGAGAAAGAGGGAACATCGACGTGAAAGGGACACATCGAGTGGCTGCCACCCACACGACCAACCAGGGCCGGGGACAAACTGCAACCGGGTACATGCCCTTAGCGGGAACCGAACCCGGATCTCTCTGGACTGCAGGCCGACGCTCTAACCGCTGAGCCAAACTGGCCAGGGCCCTTTCTCTTTTCTTTTCAGCACTGTCTGGCCCTTTGACCTTATTTTTCCCCTCCCCTGGGGAACCCAGGATGCCAGCTCCAGGACACCCTGCCCCCCAGGGCCCTGGACCTCCTCTCTTTTTTTTTTTTTTTTTTTTTTTTTTTTTTTTTTTTATCCTCACCCGAGGATATTTTTTCCATTTTTGGTACAGATAGAATGGGAGGGAGAGAGAGGAAGGGAGAGAGAGTGAGAAACATCGACGTGAAGGGACACATCGAGTGGCTGCCACCCGCACGACCAACCAGGGCCGGGGACAAACTGCAACCAAGGTACATGCCCTTAGCGGGAACCGAACCCGGGTCTCTCCAGACCGCAGGCCGACGCTCTAACCGCTGAGCCAAACCGGCCAGGGCTGGACCTCCTCTCTTCTCCACACTGCAGGCGATGCAGACCATTTCTGATAGACCAGTCCATGTGGCTGTGGTCAAGACAGTGTCTAGTCCTCTCAACAGCAGCACAGAGAGTTTGTCTGGGAGGGTCCTCTGGCAACACAGTATCTTTCTGGTGGAAAGTCAAAATGCCATTACAGGCATGACTGGCAGTACATCAGAGCATTGTGAGGCCCTTCACATCCCAGCAAAGGCTCACAGACATCAGCCCACGGACCAGAATTGGACAAGCTGCACAGCAGGGTCGGCTAGGGAGATTTTCAAAAACACAGATCTTTAGGCCCAGTTCCTTGGCGTTCCTGATAGAGTGGATCTGACATGGTGCTTGGGCACCTGTGTTGTTTACCCCTTCCCCAGATGATTCTGATGGGCAGTCAGGTTTGGGTACCATCACATCCACAAGTCCTTACAGGGCCAGACCTCGTCAAGCACATGGTGCATGATCAGAATCGCATGAGTTTCCATGGATGATAGCACAGAAGACATACTTACCCTCAAGGAGCTTAGAGTCTATTTGGGAGACAGAGTGAAAAGAAGAAAAGCAAGTGGAGTCCAAGACCTCGCCTGGTGGAAGTCAAGGGGGCAGAGGTCACCGTGGGCCTTGTGGGTGTGACGAGTGGTCAGGAGCTCTTGGGGGTTTACTAAGTGTCATCTCTGTGTGCCAGGTATCATCTTTGTACGCCTGGTGTCCGAAGTCTAAATGTATGAGAGGAAGGGAAGGATATACACGGTGGAAATATAACTGACCACCTGAAAGAATGGGTGATGACATTTCAACTGCCCTGAGCTCTCAGACTCGGTCTGGGTGGGCATCGGCCGGATCCAGAGCAGGGCCCTCCCCGCCCTCGCCCCTGCCCCCGCCCCCGCCCCATCCCCAGGCAGCAGGAGGATGGCGTGAGAGGCGGTGCTTTGCGTGGATTACTTTTCGACAGGACCTCAAAGGAGCGTGTGCTTGTCTCTTCCCCTTCAGGTCGGATTGCCCTGTTGCACCTGGCCCTTCTGTTTGGCCACACTAGCGTTCCTATTGCTGACCACGAAGAACCCCAACATCTACAAGATGCCCCTCAGTAAAGTCACTTACCCTGAAGAAAACCGCATCTTTTACCTGCAAGCCAAGAAAAGGATCGTCGAGAGCCCTCTGTGAGAGCAGCCTTCTTCCACAGCTGTGCTCACGTCGTGTCTGCCTGCCCCGTTGGCTTCCAGGGTCTCAGCAAATCGTTTTCCACTAGTAGCCACTTTCCTACTAACCCATCGGCGATCTGTCCTTATGCTCGCTCTGTAGTTTCCTTTCAGATTCCGAGAACATCCCTAAACATGCGAGAGACACCCAGACCACGTGCTCTGGCTACGGAACTTTAAACCCTCGTGGGGTGTTGGCACGAAGACTGTCATATATTTATTAAAGCCAAAATGCTCCCTCGGAAAGAGGAACTGAGGCTAGAGCTAATTAGTGATATTTATTGATATTTTTGATATTTGGTTTGGCTGGCTGGTGTTAACAGTATTAAAAATTAAGCTCTATAAACCAATTAAGCCGTATTAAGGGAACGGAATTCATGGTCACAAAATTGAAGTCAACCTAGAAATCTCAGATAAGCTGTTCGGCTTGTGGAAAATCAATGCAAGTTACACAGTACAGCTGTGGCAACAAGGCAGGGGCGGGGCCAGGGCTGAGCTCCTCCCTGCTCCTCGGCAGGGCCTCCGTGTGGTCAGCTGACTGGGTTCCACTGTCCGAGATGGTTGGTCTTTTTCAGGCTGATGAGCTGCATTAGGGAGAAAGGGTTTTTGCCAGTCAAAATTATTTTGAATTGTTACTTTTCTTGGAGATTGCAAAGGACTTTTTAGGAGGAGTTTACTATCTTTTTCTTGTGAGAACGGATTTGTCTCATGAGATAAAATAAGACAAGTTCTTGGCTTAATTAGTTCCCAAATAGTATAGAAAAGTTACATTTTTTATAAAATACTCAGCATAGCTATATTTTTACTATAATCCCTAAGTTGGTTTTGTAAATGCCCCGAATGCATAGAATTAAGTCATCAACACTCGAGGGCCCGTTCAAGTTACATTTTCAGTTCCTTTGAAGATACCTTACGCGTTACAAAGCCTGAAAGGTAAGGGCAGATTGCTTTTGGGTGTTTAGAAGTGATTGAATTTCGACTTAAAAAAAAAAAATTAGTATTTTCTGAACACTCATAATATTCTCGCTCAGAAACCAATGATATTTGAGCCACCAAAAAGACCTCCAGATAAAGGACTTCCTGTTTTGTTTTGTTTTTCTTTTTTTTTTTTCATTTAAAAGTTACCAGTTCTGTAAAGATTTTATAACCCAACATTCAGGGTGTGTCAATTCAGTCCTTTGGAGAATGCAAAAAGAGACACTGTAGAATCTTGAGGTTTTTTTTTCCCTTTGGGTTTGCAGTGCTCAGTGACAATATACAGTTTGCTGAATCAATCGACATAAAAAGGGAAGTAAGCCTTCAAATATTTTAGGGAGAAGTTCACTTCTTCCTTTTCTCAGGAAAACAAACAAACATTGTTTCAATTTTTAAAACCTGTGACCACAGCCTTTTGAAACCAGACTCTGCAGCTGTGGGGGAGTCACACGTCTATTCCTGTGGAAAAACTAAATTTTCAGTGTTTGAACTGAAGTCTCTCTGATTAGGGAATTTATGAAATAAGACTTGGGTGGGGGGCAGTGCCGGACTAAAAAGCAAGCATAACCAAGGATAACCAGGGGTGAAGAACCTGGGCAGTGGCTGAGTGAACCCAGTTGATTTTCAGAATGGGCTCTATCCAGTGTGCTAATTACATACCTTCTCCCCTTGTGCGCACACGGACTTGTAAATAGGAGCATTTTAAGGCCTTATACATTGTCTAATTTAAAAGGTATTGATTTTCTCCAGCTATTTTTGTTACTAAGTGTTAGCCTAATAGTAAGTGACTCTTTTATGAGTTTTTCTATAGAGCACTTGTATTTTTCCCTATTCTCTGTATAAAAAGTTTCTATGTAAGAATATGAATAAATTATACTCATAGCTGTTTTGTGTAAATTTTGCTTAAAAGAGTCATACATGTTGCCCAGCGGGTGTGGCTCAGTGGTTGAACATCAACCCAGGCACCAAAAGGTTGCCGGTTCAATTCCCCGTCAGGGCACATGCCCAGGTTGTGGGCCTGATCCCCAGTGAGGGACATGCAGGAGGCGGCCAGTCGATGTCCTCTCTCATCGATGTTTCTATCTTTCTCTCTCTCTCAAATCAATAAAGAAAAAAATATTTTAAAAAAAAAGTCATATAACTATTGTGTATTTTAACAACCACATGTATAAGTATGTCTTGCTTATATATCAAGGGGCTAGAATCCTGTTCCTTTCTTAGACTTAGTAGTGGCACCAGAGGTATATGTGAGCAAAGCCTGTTCAATTTCATATACATGGGCCCATCCCCTGGGGTATCCTCTCAACTACCATGTTCTCCTCATTCAGGAATGAGAATGGATTACTGAGGACAGCACAGATGTGCAGGGCTAACCCTAGAGTTGAATCTCCCCAGAGCCAGCCTGCATGCATTCCCAGGCAGGCCCAGGGCACCCCATCAGGGCTGCCGTGACACACCTCTGGGCTCAGCTCTCTAGGACACACCCGTGGCCTGTGCTGGTGTCTGCCACCGGAAGCACTTCTCTCCCACCTCCTTCATCCGTGGGTAGCAGACTGGAAAGAACGCATGGGAAGAATGGAAATTTACTCCCAGTTTCAACAGCAGCCCAAACAGGAAGCAAAAGGAGGCCGCAATGTGTTGGCCCACTGCAGCGCCCTCAGTCAAAACAAAATCTCCCCTGCCTATTGTTTCAAGATAATAAATTTACCAGAGTGATCTGGTCATTAAATGTCACCTTTGGTCTGAGGTAGAAAATAGAGAAAAGAGTTTGAGGTTCTTCTGCTAAAGACTCCAGACACTGTATACCTCACCTGGAGGGGTTCCAGGTGCAGATTTGCTTGTTTCCTGGGGCACCTGATTAGTATAGAATACATTGAGATAGAAGCTTAAGTTTCATGGAAGATGAGGAATTTACAGACAACCTTGCAAGGATATGTTTGTAGGTGTTGAGTCCAGGACAAGGATTTACGCATATGAATATTTTCAGCCTTCCCATTTATCTAACAACTACCTTCCAAAAGGATTTAACCTTTAGAGTTAAATCTCCTCCTTGAACTGGCATTGCAACCCCACAGACCATTAGAAAGTTTGTCACTTCCAGGCTACAGAGTTCTATTTGCTAAAACAATTAGCAATGCAGACCCTGAAGGAAACTAAACCTATAGAGAATATAAGCGAAGTGAATATAAGTCCTGTAAGAGTCTGTTTTCACAGTTCTTAAAATTTAACTATAAACTACATACAATAGATCAGAGCCAGATATATGCAAAGTCATCTAAAAGAAAAGATTGCTCCCAGGTCTGACCTTAACCTTACTAAGAATTAACCACGTAGATGTTAACATGTCTAACGCAGCGTAAGTCTGATGGGGTCGCACATGAACCACTGAAGCTTAGGAACGGGAAGAAGCATTGCAGGGGGTCTTCAGCACTGGGATGGTGGCCCAGGAACAGGCGTCAGGGGAGATCTCTGTGGTGGGGATGGGTGTGCTGGGGTATTATGGTTTAGCAAATTCAATCCCTTAAATCACGCAGCTATTGCCCCTCATCTTGTGTACTCACAAGCTATTTGACTTTCTGTGTAGATTTGCCTTCTGGGGGAAAAAATGTTCTTGTCCGTACTCATGAGTGTTCGATCCTCAATTACATTTACTACATTTCTCATCTTAATTAATACTTTAGTTTTTATACATAAGTCTTTGAAAGTTGTATTTGCCTCTCTATGTCACCAAAAGCCCAATCACCCCATGGTTTCCCAACAGAGTTCAATTTCTGAGGCTGCAGAGGTGAGTGAGATAAGGAGTAGTCAAAGGTAGTCAAACATCCCCAAGGATGTGACGTTTAGACAGAATAGACCAGAGATGAGCAGGTGGAGAGTGGATCGAGCAGTGTTCTTGGTTAGGGAACCTCATAGGTAAAGGATTTGAGACAAGAAGGAAGTTGGTGCTTTCAAGAAATGGGAGAAGACTGGTGTGACTGGAATACAGTGAGTGAGAGGGCGTTGGAGTGGATTCGGGAACCAATTAGAAGGCCATTGCAGTAGTGTGGGAGAGGGGTAGTTGGCTTGGACTCCAGTGGTGGAAAGGGGGGGGGGTGTTTATGGGTGAAAGAGACAGGAAGTGGAACCTTAGTCCTTGGTGATGGGTCGATGTGGGATGTGAGGGAGAGGAAGGTATCAGGGATGACTTCCTGATTTCTGGCTCGGGCAACACGATAGATGGTGCCACACAATAAGATGGGAGCACTGAAGAGACACTTCTCTTGCACACATTCTTCCAGGCCAATTCCAGCTTTCTTGAGCTTCAGTCCAGATTTTGCATTGAAGCTGTCTACAGGGACTATCCCAACAGCACCTCCTGAATTTCAACACACCCAGGATAAAACTATCTTCATCTATTCTGCTCTACCTCCCATGCTGACTCATAGGGAAGGGCAGTGCCCTCTGGCCAACCATACAAGCCAGAAACAGTGTGACATCCTTGACCTGCCCTCACCTCTAGTCCACAGCCACATTCTACCTCCTTGATAGCCCCCTTCATTCATTCATTGACAAACATTTATTGAGTGACTATTACATGATGAAAACTGGGGTTGTAGTAGTGAACCAAACAGCCATGGATTCTGCCCTCACAAAAACTTATAAGGTGAACTAACAAGTAAATGAGTAAATGGAATAGCATGGGGATAAGGCTGAGGAAGCGGTAGACGGGCAACAAGGTTGAAGGAAGAGTATTCCAATGACTTCTTCCTTCTAAGAAACAGTACACAAGAACATCAAATACCAGGCAGCCATATTAAATAGGATGCTTTTGGCAGTAAGTAATAGAATACTTGTCTAAAAGTCCTCGGTACAATAGTAGTTTTATTCCTAAAAGTAGGAAGTTCTTTTCCAATTTTGGTGTAGCTACTCAATAATATCACCAGGGATGCAATCACTTTCCATCATCCTCATCATTCTCAGAAGACTCCACTTTCATCTTCAGGCTTGTTGCCTCGTGGTCCCAAAATAGCTGCCTTGGTTACAGACAACACATCAAGAAGAAGGAGCCAACAAGAATTGTAAGAGAGTCATTCTCTCATGTCTCTCTCTTTTTATCAGGGAGCAAAATCTTTCCCAGAAGCTCTCCCAAAATACTTTCATTTATGTCTTTCTGGCAGCAGAGGAGTCTGGGAAAACATGCATCTAGTATTGTCCACCCCTGCTATAGCAGGTGAGCTCTACCATATTACAGCCAAAGCAAGATGAATGGCTACTGAACAGGCAGCCAACCTGTCTGCCACAGCAGTATATAGTACCACCATACACTATACTGTACTTATGTGCCCAGGTCACACTGGATAGAGCCAAGTAGTGGCAGATGAGACAATCTATTGTGGGAGTCACAAAGAAGGTTAGGACAGAGACCTCGACCAAGATCTTTCACACAGAGATACTTAGTGGAATATTTGCTGGCATATGCCCAGAGTACTTTAGAATACCCCAGCTTCATACAAGATTTTGTAGCCTCTTACTAATGAAATTCTAAGCAAAGGGTAAGACAGCCAGTGATAATGATCAGAGCAAGGAAAGTTTAGGGTCACTTTATGTTGCAATTAGTCCTCTTGATCTAACATTTGAAACGTCTAAATCATCCACATTGGAAGGCCTCATTGGGAATAATTGAGTTTCAATTCAGTTCCTGCTCAATGAAGCACTGGAGACAAGTCTACATATTCTGCTTCATGGTTCCAAATAAACAATAAGAAAACTAGTTTCCTCTTTGGGTTGGGTTCATTGGATCCTAGCCCATGCAAGTTTTGAATTATATCACAGTGACATGCAATGATCGAAAGGGATGAAATGAAGCACAGAGGAAAGTTGGCACAGCGCCGGGAAACGTGGCTAATGTTAGGTTTCTGAGAACACAGAAAACAATGGCAGCTTGGACATGAGTCAGTGACCCAAGAGCAAGTGCAACTTGGGGCAAGAAGATCACACACAGGCCGGCCATGGGAGTAGCCCGTCCAACCGGGAGGCCTTTCTACATGCTTCTCCGGGGGACCTCCGACAATGTCTACACCTGCTCATTTGTCCCAGCTCTGACCTTCACATTCCTCATGGACAGTATCCTGTCACCTGCAGCCCTGCCCATCACAAGGCCCACAAAGCCTCTGAGACACAGACCCACAGTAGCCTGAGGAGCCCTTTCTTCAGCATCCTGGATCTGATTGCTCAGTACCCCTGCCAGACCAATTTTTAAGGTTTATAAATGTCATCCTTGTATACATTTGGTCAAACAGTTCAATGTAGACAGACTTAGCATGCCTAAAGCTGGTTGTAATTTAATACAAAGCATTATTTCTCTCCAGGTTGCAAGGTGAGCTCTCAGGACTCAGGACTCAGCATTAGGTGCATGAGGGGCATGCCAGCACCTGATATCGGGATCAATACAGTCACACCTGGGCCAGATCAGGCCAATACCTACATGATCTGAGAGGTACCAAGAGCCTAAGATGCCTTCACCAGGAGCCTCCCACCCCTCCATGGAGCCTAAAATTTCTCCTTTAAATTCGCAGTAAAAGAGCACTATGCTGTGACAGCAGCAACTCATTAAGATCTCAGATATTAAAATCCTTGTGGCCCTGGCCGGTTTGGCTCAGCGGTTAGAGTGTCCACCCGCAGACCAGAGAGTCCCGGGTTCGGTTCCCATTAAGGGCAGGTACCTCGGTTGCAGTTTGTCCCTGGCCCCGGTTGGGGTCTTGTGGGTGGCAACACTCAATGTGTCTCTCTCACATCAGTGTTTCTCTCTCTCTCTCTCTCTTTCTCCCTCTCTCCCTCCCGCTCTATCTGAAGATAAATGCAAAAAAAAAAAAAATCCTCGTGGAACTAATTTACCTGTTCTCTTTTTACTTTCATAGTTGACAAGAGCAAATCCTATAGGAAGAAGATTCTAGAAAGATTCGTTTTGAGGAGCAAATGCAGAAGGTGGTCATCCAGAACTAGGGCAGTGATCATGCGAAGAACGGGAAAGAGGAGGAGGAAGGACATGCAAAAGAAACCAAGGACAGTGCATGATCAACACATCCCCTGCTGAGCACACAGAGCGAGGAGAGAAGCCAGGGGGCAAGGACCGAGGAATCCAATCAGGTATGTGCCTGTGCAGCAGCACAGACTGTGGGTCTGTGTGGGTTAAGATGCATCTTCTCTCCTTCGTGTCATTTAGAGTGTGGTTGCTTTCTCTTCCCATAATCTTGAAATCCTAGCTTCCATGCCCTCGTGGCCACTTGTTTTTATATTCCTGAACTACTTCCCACCTTCTTCTGGTAACAGCACCTCTCTTTCCTTAAGGGATCTGCCCCTTCTCCAATTAGAGGGTTCTCCTGGGGCTATGAGCCTCAATATCCTCTCATAGATACAGTGGAGTCCAGCGGCTCAGACCTGGCCAATCAATACACTCCAATTTCCTGGCCACAGGGATTGGCTCAAAGGATACTCACCTGACGCGCCCTGGGCCAATTTCCTGCAGGAATATGAAATCTGAGCAGACAGCCCAGGACAGAAGAAACCTGAAGGTGGGTCTGACAACAGAGATCTGGAGAAAAGCCAGGAAACACTCAAAGCCATCCTGGCTTCTTCCCTCCCCGCCCCCGCCAAGGCCAGGTTACTGTTACTTTCATGTAGTGAATGATCGCCATATCTTTCCAATAAACTCAATTGGTGCTTAAAGGAATCAGAATCTGTTTCTGTTTCAACCAACAACCGAAACTGACACCGAATACTGCAGGAGACACACTTAGAACGTCCAGTAGGCTGAGTCAGGATGGAGAGGGGAGCTGAGTGAGGACCCCCCTCTCCTCCTGCTCTCCGGGTTGGGAGTCTGCTAGTCCTGGCGACATGGGGTTAAACTATTCACTGATGCATATTGTGATCCGAACCATGTGTTCCCATGGATAAAGCTTTAGAAAAGGCTCGGCAGGAAAATGTCAGGATATTGGAATTCTCTGGCTACTTTTCCTGCCTTACATTAAAGCAGGATGTATGTTGAGATTGTCTTTCTGCCTTTAACAAATGTAACAGACCTCCCCCCCCGCCGCACGGTGGGGGTTGAATAATTGTGCACAATGCCTGTGCGGTTTATTAAGCTATTGTCTCCTAGCTCCAAATGCCCCTGCTGTACTCTGCCTGGTGACACCGGTGCTGGGGCCCCACAGCCCGCGTTTCTCCTTTGCCTGCTGGCTCCTGCTGAAGTATGCTGCAGAAGGAACCGGGAGGCAGCATGGGGGAGAGGGAGTTGTTGCTTTCAGCAGTAGTCCCCAGGTTCTTGTCCCTCTCCCATGATCTGACCCACCGCGCGCCCGGAGGTCCCTTCCTCGGCTGAGGTCTGTCCCTGCACTGAAATGAATGTCCTGACCAGGAAACAGCTACCTGAGAGGATGGAGAGAAAAGGGGAGGTCCGGTCTTCAGGCCTTTCCCAAGCACATTCTATTATCGATTCACTCATTGCCAATTCCTGGCCTGATTCTGTGTCACTTACTAGGGAGCAGCCCAGGGACAGGGACAGTACTGACTTCTAACCCAGGCAAGAAAGGCCCTGTCCAGAGCCCCCATGCTTGAAAATGTCCTTATCGGACCTTCCTGTGGCCCGTGCCCTTTCCCCCAGGACAGGGAGCCATGCAGACAAGAGGGTATGTCCACCTGAAGCCTGAGACCGTCTTCTGGACTATGCTTCAAGCACTTAAAATCACAGAATATCTGCCCAAGCGGCTCAGCCTGCGTCCCGGGCCCAACAATCCATTCCCTGAGTCACTGTTCTGAGTAAACACTGCTTTGGGTTACACACTCCTTGGCCCGTGGTACTGCTAAGAGACGGCTGGGGGGAGCTGGGGTGAACGGAGCTGGGATGTGCCCGAGTTGTCCATATGGGTGTATGAGTGCCCACTGTGCGGGACAGAGCCAAGTGAAAGAGGGGAGGAGGGGATGAACCGGGGACCACTCCGTGCTCTTGTCTCAGCCTCGTAAGTATTAAGGCAGAGCCAGGCGGGAAGCAAACCGGCTCTAGTCCCTGGATCTAAGGCAAAGGCCAGACAAAGCCTCAGGCTGAGGTCGGGGGAGAGGAGCTAAGAGAGGGTCTGTGGTCCAGATTCAAACGTCATAACCTACTCATCCATCGTAACACTCCCCTAAATGTAATCAGTGAGAGTTATGTGTTGTTGTTGTTTTTGCCAAAGACACTCTACACTCGACAAGCAGGAGCTTCGGGTCGTCAACTGCAAAGCAAACCCAGGCCCCAGAGCCCATGCCAGGAGGGAGTGGGCCCCAAGGCCCAGCCCCAGCGCAAAATCCTGCTCGGTGCCTCTCAGGTGTGGCCAAGGTGAACCCTGGTTGGAGGCTCCGGCAGGCAGAGCACAGGGAAGCCCCCGTGGCCCACCGAGGCCTCACCTTGGCCAGACAGTGAGGCGACAAGCGTGTCTGCCGTTTACTCACTGTTCCTGACCAACAGGATGTGCTGTCCTCTGGGCATGGGTCTGTCATCTCCTGTTCCCTTTCCCCTTTTCAAAATAGCAGTTCTATTGCTATCCTGTTCCTCCCCCATAACGGTTCTGTTGGGTGTGTTGGGGTTTTCCGAGCCCTTGCAAGGTCATGAGGAACACATTCAGATCTAATGGGTTGGGTATTCAAGGGACGTCTGCTTGTCTCCCAGGGGGAAGGAGGGAAAGCAATACGGCTTTATCTTAAACAGGGACATTTTTGAAATTGTGTATATGGGAAGAAGGGGGTGTGTGAACTGGGCAGGAAAGTGATTGTTAGCTCTGTCCAGTCTGTGCCCACCTCCCACCCCTGACCATTCAGGTCACAGACCTTGAACCCCTGACTGCAGAGAGAGGCCCAGGGACCGTATTAGAACAATCACTGCACTTTACATCTGCCGATCTAATTCCTCTGGCTGGAGCTGGTGGGAAAGAACTCCTTTCTGGGTGACACAAGAGAATGTGAGTCCAAGGCTGTCAGTGGCCCTGTTCCCCACTGGGTGGGGGAAGACCATCTGGAGTAGGCGAGAGCAGCTGGTAGAGTGTGTGTTCTAGAAGGTCCAAGTCTCTGGTTCCAGTCCCTGAGGTCCCCATACATTCCCTGGGTCCCGTGTCGTCCTCAGCTTTCGGTTCTGTGAGCTCCCTTGTCTTTCTGCATCAGCTAGTGTACAGCTGTGCTCTCCACCTGAGAGTTCCAACTAATCAACCAACCCAGCTCATTTGAATTGAACTTTTTTAAAAAATATTTTTATTGATTTTTTTTAGAGAGAGATAAACACATCAATGTGAGAGAGATACATTGATCAGCTGCCTCCTGCACACCCCGTACTGGGGATTGAGCCCACAACCCAGGCACGTGCCCTGACTGGGAATTGAACCGGGTCCTCTCAGTCCATGCGATGATGTTCAATCCACGGAGCCACACTGGCTAGCAGAGTTGAACTTTCTTAAACCATGGTTATACAATACTTTCTCATTCTGTTTGTATATCCTTGTCAACCTGATGAATTGTATTGAGCTTTATTTCCAATAGTTTGCATTTCAAAAGAAAAATACACAATTGAGTCAGTTAAGTATGACCACAAGCCAATAAAATGACCCAGGAGAGCATAAGAAGTAAAAAGATGATGAACATGAGACCCAGGAGAAAATCAGCCTTTAAGCTGCAACAGAAGTAAAGGGGCATGAGATGGAGTAGCCAGAGAGGGGACCCAGGAGGGGGGCGCCTCAGGACCCGAGGGAAGAGTGGATTTGGAGAACAGTGCTGGTAGCGGTTGCTGCTTCCAAAAGGTTGTCTGTGAGATTCTGGTGACCTTGGGAGGCGGAGCTGGGGGTGGTGGGTACAAAAGCGGGAGAGACATGGGCTAGGAAAGAATGGAAGGTAGGAAGTGGAGACGATGAGTTGCAAAACCTTTTTGCTAGTTTCTAAAGAGTTCAAAAGGAAGGCAGCAACTAGAGCTAGATGGAGATGAGAGGGTGCTTATTTTACAGGTGGGAGACACTCGGGATCATTGAAAATGACTCAGCTTTTATTAAGGACTCATGTGTGATCTCATTTGAACCTTACAGTAACCTCAGGAGGATGCTTTCCCATTCTGCAGATGAGGAAACTGCAGCTAGGGCTAACTGATTGTTGAAAGTACGGGGGGACGGGTGGGGGAGACGGGGAAGAGTGGAGAGAGAGAAAGAAAGAACTGGGAAGGAAGACTTGGGGCTCCCGAAGTCTCTGTGAGGTGCAGGAACTATGGACACTCTATCTCCTTGGCTCAAATCCCACCAGCCCTTCAAGGTAGGCCTTGTTAGAGTTTCATTGTCCAGGTGACGAAGGCCCCGAGGGTGAGGAAGAGTATACCTTTGCCAGGTCACACAGGCAGTAAGTGACACCATCTAGGTTTGAACTTGGGTCTGCAGAGGTTGAGGTGTCTGTTCTCAGTGCTTCAGCGAGCCTTCGTCCCAGGCCCCAGGCCCTCTTCTCCAGCAACTGCTGCCGGTCTCCATGCCCCACATCACGCTGCTTCGTTCCGTCTGTGGCCCCTCAGACCCGAGCCCCATGTCTCACAGCAGGGTCAGCAACGTGATATGCCTAGAGGAAGGTAAACTGAAGGATAATGCACACCAGGTCCTTCCCCTTCACCCAGTGGGAAGTAATTAAAAGATTTTTAGGCCCTGGCCGGTTTGGCTCAGCGGTTAGAGCGTCGGCCTGCGGTCTGGAGAGACCTGGGTTCAGTTCCCGCTAAGGGCGTGTACCTCGGTTGTAGTTTGTCCCCGGCCCTGGTTGGTTGTGCGGGTGGCAGCCACTCGATGTGTCCCTTTCACATCGATGTTTCTCTCTCTCTCTGTTCCTCTCTCTCCCTCCCACTCTACCTGAACAAAAAATGAAAAAATGTCCTCGGGTGAGGATGATAAAAAAAAAAAAAAAGATTTTTAGCCCTGGCCAGTGTGGCTCACGTGGTTGGACATCATCCTATGCACTGAAGGGTCACCTGTTCAATCACCAGTGAGGGCAGCCAATCAATGTTTCTCTCTCTCTCTTTCTCTCTCTCTCTCTCTCTCTCTCTCTCCCTCTCCTCCTTCCCCCCCTCCCCTCTTTTTCTCTCTCTTAAAAAAAAAAAAGAATAGGAAGACTATTTTTATATCAAAAATAAACATGGAGCCCTGGCCGGTTTGGCTCAGCAGTTAGAGCATCGGCCTGCGGTCCAGAGAGACCCGGGTTCAGTTCCCACTAAGGACTCGTACCTTGGTTGCAGTTTGTCCCTGGCCCTGGTTGGTCGTGCGGGTGGCGGCCACTCGATGTGTCCCTTTCACGTCGATGTTTCTCTCTCTCTCTCTCTCCCTCCCACTCTATCTGAACAAAAAATGTAAAAAAAATGTCCTCGGGTGAGGATCAAAAAATAAATAATGAATAAACATGGACACAGTGTTGAGTAGCACGCATAAAGCACGTGAACTTCCATGAAATGTTCTGCTTGCAATTGCCCCTTTAAACGAGCTC